AGCCAGGGAGAGTATCATAATCAGAACATGATGCCATAACCCTTATAATATATAATGTAGCCTAATATAGTCATCTTTTCATGTCTGGGACCAAATACCTACCTGACATACGAAACTTAAAGGAGGGTACTAGATGTGATGGTGTATGCCTATAATCTCAGCACTCAAGAAGATCACTTCAAGTTCTAGGGCAGTCTGGGATACATAGTGAGTTTAACAATAACTGAACTTCATAGTGAGATTCTGTGTCAAACAACAACAAAAACTTAAAGGAAGAAGGGTTTATTGTTCTGCGCACAGTTTCAGAGGGTTCAGTCACTGGCTTCTAAGCAAAAACATCATAGTAGAAGTTGCTCTGTCCATGTTGATTAAGAAATAGAACACAGAAGAATGGTATCAACATATATATAGTACTCTCCAAAGTTATGCCACCAGTGACTCACTTCCAACTAAGTTCCATCTCTTAATAGTGCACTCACCCAGAAATATCAAGTGGATTGATTCACCAATGAGTATCATGCTTCCATGATCCAATCATTGCTCCAGCAGTCTCCTAATCCAATCTAGTGAATGATTAACTGACACAAGTCTACCTCATCAACTTGACTCCTAATCATATCTCTTTAAACCATATGTAACCTCCAAATAAATACAATAACAAGATAATAATTCTATGTAACATGATAAAACTGTTTTGTTTACACGCAAACATTCAATAATTGCTTCCCCAAAGTTTCAACAATCCTTCATTGCTTAAAAATTGAAGTCCTAAGACTAACAGCATCTTAACTATGAACTCATGTAAAATTCAAAAAGCAAGTTACATATTCCCAATATACAATGATAATAATACAATGCAAACATTCTCATTTTAAAAGAGATAAATAGAAGGATATAAAAGAACAGAACCAAAGCAATACCAAAACCCAGAAGAACAAACAGTAATATCTATATCTCCATATTCACTATTTGGAGCACATGGTGGTGAGATGTGGGTTCCAGAGGGATTGAACACCCCATCCTGTGGTAGGACCCCCCTCCACATGTCAGGCAGGAACATTTTACAGTGTAGGGATATCAACCTGTTACATGAGCATGCACAGTTCTGATGTAACTCTTAACATAAATCATACCAAACCAGACTATAAAATATTAATGTATCCCCATACAAAAGAGACAAAGATAGAAAAATTGTATAAAGGGGTACAACAATGACACCATGGTCTGCACTTAGCCTTTGAATAAGAATATGCTGAGTCAGCATCAACATGATTAAAACTGCTTCCTGGAAAAAAGAGTTCAGGGTCCTGTTTCTTTACAGGAAAATTCTGCAGCAGTCCTAAAGTCCCCCTGGGTGTATATAGCCCACATGCAGTCTCTCTTAAACTAACCTCACTCACTGCCTGCTTCTTTACACAGCAGATGTGCTGCTTTCTTGGCACCTCTGATTTCCTGCACTATGCACAACGATCCTCATTCACACAACTTCATGAACTGCCCTCTCCCAGGCCTTCCCTGGCTTCCCAGGCCTTCCCTGGAAGTCTGGGTGGAAGACTTGCTGGCTCCACAACTCTTGCATTCTGCATGCCAGCAAAACCTGCATCACTTGGACAATGCCAAAGTCTGAAACCAGCTCAAGTAGCAGCCAGACCTTCTTCAGTCAGGGCTGCTGTGACCTCTGAGTTCCCAGAGAACTGAAAATAGTGAAATGAACCCCAAGAAATGAATTCTCTAAACAGCCTTTCTCAGCAGGGCCATTTTTGCACATTAAGCTTGTAATGGATGGAGTCTTGCTGATTTCTTACAGGCCCTCAAATCATCTTTCTTATTATCATTGTCCAAAGAATTTGGTTTCTTTTTAATGATAATAATCTCTTCAGCACACATACCACTTCTGACCCCAACCTTGCACATGATTCTTTGAAAAGCAAAATTTAAGTTTTTAAAATCTTTTTGCTTCACTTTTTGCTCCCAGGTCTCACTATAAGTCTGATTAAAAGCAGCCAGTTGTATGTGCAACAGCCAAGGCTACCTTGAAATTTCCTGCAACAGATATGTTAGTCCATTGAACTCAGCCTTCTCTAAAGTCTCTGAGCAACTGTAAAATATAGACAAGGTTTGATTTGCCAAACTGTAACACATATGCTCTCAAATCTGACTCCCAATAGAGTTCTCATTTGAAACCTCATGAAACTAGCCTTTACTATCAGTATTTCTATCAGTATTTTGGTTTCCTGAACTCTAAGTAGAATCACTCATCAGGCCTACTTACACCCTCTAGCTTCTCTAGCCACAGCAATGACTCCACTCCAAATACCAAATACTGCATGGTCAAGGTTTTATCTAGAACAGAAACAAGGAAAACATAGACACACATGCATGCACAAACACGGATTTATTAGATGGGCTTACAGGATTAGAGGACAGAGAGCCTGAAATGGTTGTCTATGCATTAGAGACCCTGAGGTTCCAGTAACTGCTCAGTCCAAGAAGCTAGAAGTTGAAGAATAAGTGGGATCAAAAATATAACACCTGGAAGCTCAAGAGAGAGCCTACAGAGAAAAGCTGAAGAAACGGGAATCTGACGTTCACAGACTAAAGATGAAACCTCTCAAGAAGAATAGAGCTGACATCCTTCTCCTTCTGCTTTCATTTCCTCCAGGTGTTAAGCCTATTGGACAGCACCATCCATAGTCAGGATGGGACCTCCTACCTTCAGTTCTACATGACAATCATCTCTGGAAACACCCCACAGCCACATCTGGAAGTGCGCTTTACTACTCTGCTAGGCATCTTTTAATTGAGAATCGAGATTAACAATTACATCTAATATCAGGCTTCCAGTCTTCAAACAATGAGTTTCTGCTGTTGAAGCCACTCAATTCATGGCCTTTTGTTACAGTAAACTAAACTAAGATGACCTCTTACCTCTAATATCTGGAGAATTCAAGCCTCTCATGTGACCTTCTTTTGTACTCCTATTTTTCTGTCCACTCTTAGAATAAGACATCTGTAGAAGCTCCTACCTGGTCCCAGAGGAACAAGAGTGGATATTAGGGCTGCCTTAATAAGGTGTCAGCTCATTTGTCCTAAATGATGAGAAAGTGCTCTCTGGACAAGTCTTGGGTGGGATGCTCTGGACAACTACGGTATGCTTGAGCATCAAGATAGAAACCAGAGAAGCACACCCATTGTTCAGGCAGGGGTATGAGGTAGGCTAAGCAAGTGGTGAGTTCAGATTACCTTTTCTTATACTCTTTTAGAGCAAGTGGTAGAGTGATTAGAGACACAGACTTCCCTAATCCCAACTGTGTTACTAGCTCATACAATTCTAGATTAGTGTCTGGACCTCTCTGCCTCCATTTCCTCATCTCTGAACCTGGGATAAACAGAGCCTCCATCACAGGACTGTTATGAACATCAAAATGGTTGGGAGAGTACCTTGCAAACAGGAAGTCGTGCATGAGGCATTGTCATTACCAGTTCTGATTCAGCACAATTGCCCCTGCTTGGAATTATTGTTCTCACAAGAAACCCTCAAAAACATCTCTGGCTGAAGAACAATTTAGAAAGCAGTGATCAGAAGTCTTGTGATGTCTTCAATAGCCCAGGAATTCTCTGAAAAAAATAAGACTTTTTAGATGATGTACTTTAAAATAAAATTTAAACCCACTGTCTAATAACATAAATCCTAATTTTGTGCCAAGAGGTTCATAAACACCTTTTATTTTCCTGTGATGTGCCACAGGAATTTTAAAACTTGGTATCTGTGAGCTACTCAGGAAAGGTCTCAGACCTCCAAGGAAAGTGTAGTGGTGTAAAAAAAAAGAAAAAGAAAAAGAAAAATGTGTAGTAGATGTGAAAGGGGAGAGCCACGAGAGAAGAGTCACATTTTCTTCCAGGGGAGGTGATTTGAATCAATCTAGAGCAGCAGCATCCTGATGAAACATTGGACCCTAAGAAGATTGTTCTTTGAGAATGTCTCCTCCTCGTTTTTCTCTCAGAGTTTGGTTAAAGATGATTCCTTCCTTCTAGAAGACACAGCTGATGGTTCCCTTTAAGGGAAACTAGATGCAACAATGAAGATTTCAAAAGAGTGATGCTTAGAAAAAATCAAACTCATACACAGAAGGAAGGAAGTGGAGGAGGAAAAGTAGCAAGGAAAAAGGAATGGAAAGAAAGAGGGAAGAAGGACTAGGGAGGAAAGGGGAGAGAAATACAACATATGGGTGCTTGGAGAAAGACAGATAGCTTTCAGGCAGAGTTATCTCAGGCGTTTCTATTTGTAACACAGAAAGAAGATTTCAGTCAATAGAAACAGGGAGGTGTGTTCGTGGCTCCTCCACTCTTTTCCTGTGTATCTTTTCCCTGTAGTTCAGAGGAAATAAAGTTAAGGGAATCCTCCACTTGTGCCTCCCGCCCATGCATAATAACAATGGTATCACTCAGTGTCTTGTTGCAGGCATAACACAAATACAAGAGATTCACAAAGTTTCACTCCAAGCAGAGAGCAGAGGGATCAGCCAGGCAGTGGCCAGCCCCATCACCTTGTGTACAGCAAAGTGGAACCATCTCTTTGTGTTTTCTCCCCACCATTCCTGAATCTCATATCCTTTGCACTACTTCCCCCAAGGGACAAATATGTTTGTGAGTTTCCCAGTGTTCAAACACTGCTACCAAAAAGTGTGAAATACTATGAACAAGATTAAAAGTTGCGGAAAAGCTTTAGTGCAACTAATTTTTAATACAGCTGTAAAGAAAAATAAAATACATTCTGATCATCAGGAAACTTTCAGGTTTAAAAAGTGATCATGTTACATTGCAGGGAACGCAGTGTAACTATACTTACATTTGACTAATTTAATAAACTGTATTGCATTGACCTGTAATTTATTCTTCTGCAGAAAGATCCACTGGACTCTAGGATGCATGTGACTACTTACGGTACTTAATCTTTTGGGTACATGTAGAAATGTAAAAAGAAAAGGCGCATAGGAAAATCTTAGCGGATTTTTTTATTGTTTCATTGATTTTATAAAGCTCGCTTCATAAGACATGGAGTTCTCATGACATTTTCAAACTGAGTCTGGAGGACCAGCAGTATTAACATAATATGTAATATAAATTAAAATATAATAATAATATCTAGTGTGTAACATCTGAATGCTTTCATATTCATCATCTTGATTCTTTGAATAATATTTGTTACAGTAAATAAGGCAAAAAAGATCACAGAACCTAATTTGTTCAAGGTTACATGTTCAAGAATATTTAAAATCCAGGTCTCCCCTACTCATCAAGTGGCATTTTCATGTCATTGTGTTGTAAATTAGACTCATTACCTTCTGTGCCCAACCTTCCACCCTTCGGACCCTGGGCCTCCACCTTGGAAGGCAGGCTGCTTGTGCACCCACGCTCTCACAGCCAAAGACCCCCCATCTCCTAGTATTGCTGTTGATCTTCAGTTGTGCCTCCTCCTCCTCCCAGAACATTGGACTGCATTTGCTGGGTTGATGGGAGACTCAGTAGCCCCTCAACCAAACAGAGGGCCTCAGCAGGCTTCCATCAGTGTGGTGAGTTTGCCCCTAAACTAGATGCCTTCACTGGGCAAAGAGGAGCAACAGCAAAGTCCCCTCTAGCTGTAGGGCTTTGGTGAGCCTGGTGAGAGTGTGGATGAGTCCTTCCCCCATACAGAGAACATCAGATGTGTTGAGGAGTGTGCCAATAGGGCCTCCCCCAACCTGAAGAAAATTAAAAGGGCTTATGAGACAACCAGTGACACAGCAGAGTCCCAGCCAAGACAATCACTATAGACAGGGAGATCTGGTGATCTGGAACAACCTGAAGACATAGTAATAGTGGGAATTAATGGTTGACTTACATCAATAGTCCTAGGCTAGTGAGCCCAGGAAGAATATAGGACTCACCCAACAGGCCCTGTGGGAGGTATTCAGGTGACAGCCCTCCTCTTCATCATGGTACCCAGCAATTGGACAAACATTTACCACACAGTAGGGCCCTAAGACACACTACTGACAGTTCAGACTAGCATGATCAAAAGACCAAATTTTAGCCCAAAAGGTAAAAATGACAAAACAAAAAGCAAAATGCAATCTCAAACATCTAGTCCATCAGGAGCAAGTACAGGAGACATTGAAATAGAGGACTTTAAAAGTTATACACCTGAAATCTCTGAAAAGATAGCAAGTGAAATAAAGAAGCAAATCCATGGGACTATAGAGGAAATCAAATTAGAAATAGTTTCTCACTTAAAGACAGAAATGACAAACTTAGCAAGGCAGTTGCTCAGCATAGCTAGAGAAGAAATAGATTTTTAAAATTACAGGAGCATGGAAAACTGATTGAAACTTTGAATGATCTATATAGAAAACAGGTAGAATGCATGAGACAAAATCAAAGAGAAATCCAAGAAATAAAAAATTCTATTGAAAGCTGGCAAACCATTTAAATGAAGCTGAGGATAGAATCTTGAGAACAGAATCACAGCTAGTGACCATGAAAGGATAGAACTTTTAAAAATAACAAAACAGCATGAAATGATAATTCAGCAGCTTCAAGATGATACCAAGAGAAATAATATAAGATTAACAGGCATCAGTGAAGACACAAGTGTCAACATGAATGAAATCAGTAAACCATTTACAGAAGTAATAGCAGAAAATTTCCCAAACATGGGGAAGGAATCTGATATGCAGATAAGTGAGGCATATAGAATGCCAAACAATCACAACCAACATAAATCTACACTCAGACATATAATTAAGATCCCAGACATACAGCATAAAAACAGAATATTAAAAGCTGTTAGAGAAAAGACACAACTCAGTTATCAAGGAAAGCCCATTAGAATCACAGCACTTTTCAGCACAAACCCTTGAGTTAAGACAATCTTGTAGTGGGATGTTTCAAGCCCTGAAGAAAAACAACTTTGATGTATCCTGTGAACATTTCTTTGAAATTTAATGGAGAAATAAGATTCTTCCATGACAAAGAACAACTGAAGAAATTCATATCCACCAAACCAACCCTAGAAAGGTACTGAAAGACATATTAGATAGAGATAAAAATGACCGCAGTTTCCAAAGCAACAACAGAAAGAAACCACCAGACAGAGCAGGCAATTAAATAAGAGGGGAAAGCAGAAAACAAAGGGCAGGAAAATAACATGACAAAGTTGAGCCAATATATATATCAGTTATAACCATCAATGTAAATAGCCTCAATTCACCTATTAAAAGAAACAGTTTGACAGAATGGATCAAGAAACAGGATCCCACAATATGCTGTATACAAGAAACACATCTGACTCAAAAGGAAACTCATAGACTAAAAGTAAAATGATGGAAAATAATATTCCATGTGACAGGACCCCAGAAAAAAGTAGGGGTTGCTGTTCTATTTGCAGACAATGTGAACTTCAAACCAAAAATGATCAAATGAAATAAAGAAGGTCACCACATACTTCTCAAGGGAATAATTCAAGAAGAAGAGCTAACAATCATAAACATATATGCACCAAATACAGAAGCACCCAATTATACAAGACAAATACTAATAAATATGAAAAATCAAATAAGCAACAACACAATTGTAATGAGGGACCTTAATACCCCATTGTCACAGAGAGATACATCTACTAGACAAAGTGTCAACGAAGAAATAACAGAACTCAATAAAACCTGTGAGCAAATGGACTCAGTAGATGTTTATAAAGTGTTCCACCCTACCACATCAGAATATACATTCTTCTCAGCTATGCATGGGACATCCTCTAAAATAGACCATAAATTAGCCAATACAACATTCTTAAGTAAATGTAAATGGATTGAATTTATCCCATGCATATTATCAAACCATAGTGCACTTAAATTGGAAATTAATTGCAAAACCAGCATAAATACATGGAAATTAAATAACAACCAGTGGGTTACATGTGAAATTAAAGAAAAAATTAAACAATACCTACAATTCAATTAACATGTACATACAACATACCAAAACCTGTGGGGCACAATGAATGTGGTCCTAAGAGGAAAATATATAGCAATAAATTGTCATATCAAGAAAACAGAATGAGCACAAATAAATAACTTAATGCTACATCTCAAGCTTCTAGAAAAAGAAGAGCAAGTAATATCCAAAGCTCATAGAAGAGAGGAAATTATAAAGATCAGAGCAGAAATTAATGCAATTGAGATTAAAAAAAAATAAAGAATTAATGAATTAAAGAGCTGGTTTTTTGAGAGAATAAACAATATTGATAAGCCTCAGGCCAACCTTCAAGAAAAAGAGAGAAAAAACTCAAATTCAAGCAATAGGGACTGAAAAGAGAGAAACTGCTACAGATGCCATAGAAATCCAAAAGATCATGAATACCTACTTTGAAAATCTTTACTCACATAGGATGGAAAACAGAGATGAGAGAGCCAGATTTCTAGAGCCATATGAAATACCAAAGCTCAATCAAGAAGATATAACAATTTTGAATAACCTAATACCAGCTATTGAAATAAAAAATATGATTAAAAACTTACCAACAAAAGAAAGCCCAGGTCCTAAAGGATTCACAGATGAATTCTACAAGAAATTTAGAAAAGATTTAATGACAATACTCCTCAAACTCTTCAATGAAATTGAAAGGGAAGCAGTTCTCCCTAACTCATTCCTGGAGGCAAGTATTACTCTGATACCAAAACCAGAGAAAGACCCAACCAAAAAAGAGAATTATAGGCCAATCTCACTAATGAACATTGATGCAAAGATACTCAATAAAATACTGTCAAATAGAATGCAGCAAATCATCAAGAAGATTATACATCACGACCAAGTAGGATTTACCCCTGGAATGCAGGGATTATTTAACATATACAAATCAAAAAATGTAATACATGACATAATAGAGTCAAAAACAAAAATCACATGATTATCTCGATGCAGAAAAAGCTTTTGATAAAGTCCCACACTTGTTCATGATTAAAAATCCTACAGAAAATTGGAATAGATGGTATCTACCTCAATTTAATAAAAGCCATATATGTCAAACCAAAACCAACATTATACTAAATGGACAAAGATTGAAAGCTTTCACTACCTTATAATGTTATCCACTTATCACCATTCCTATTCAATATAGTTCTGGAAATATTAGCCAGAGCAATCAGACAAGAGAGAGAAATAAAAGGAATAAAGATAGGAAAGGAAGAAGTTAAACTATCACTATTTGCAGATGACATGATACTATACATCGAAGACCCCAAAGTTCCATTAAAAGACTACTAGAGGTAATAAACAAATTAAACTGTATAGCTGGATACAAAAATCAATAGCATTCCTGTACACCAACAAAAAGCTCACTGAGAGAGAAATTATGGAAATGTCACCTTTCACAGTAACATTTAAAAAATGAAATACTTAGGAATCAACCTAAGAATGTAAAATACCTATATGCTAAAAATTATATATTACTCTAAAAAAGGAGATTGAAGAGGATATTTTTAAAAATGAAAGGATATTCCTTGCTCTTGTTTGGGAAGGACTAACATTGTGTAAATGGCCATACACCCAAAACTGTTATACAGACCTAATGCAATCCCAATCAAAATACCATTAACATACTTTATGGATCTAGAGAAAACATTCCTAAAATTCATTTGGAAACAGAAGAAACCTAGAATAACAAAGGCAATTCTGGGCAACAAAGGCAAGGCAGTAGACATCTCAATTCGTGACTTGAACTTATGCTACAAAGCTGCAGTGATAAAATCAGCATGGTACTGGCAAAGGCATAGACCTGAGGATCAGTGAAACAGATTAGAACATGAAAACACAACTACAAAGACACTCAGCCACCTTATATTGGACAAAGGGGCTGATCATGTTCACTGGAAGAAGGATAACCACTTTAATAAATGGTGTTGGAAAAACTGGCTTTCCACATGCTGAAGACTGACACTAGACCGATGTCTATTGTCATGCACTAAAGTCAAAATGGATCAAAAGATCTAAATATTATAACAGAAACACTAACTCTATTGGAAGGTGAGGTGGGTAGAAATCTTGGAGACATAAGGCTAGGCAAGGAATTCATGAACAAAATGCAAACCACATTGGAAATACTTTAGTGAATCAACAACTGGAATCTCATCAAGAAGTTTTTGCATTTCAAAAGAAATCACCAATGACATGAAAAGAAAAACCACAGAATGGGAAAGAATTTTAACCAACAGTTCCTCAAACAAAGGACTTATATCCAGAACATACAAAGAATTGAAAAATATCAATCCCCCAAATCTAAAGACCCTCTCCAAAAATGGGCATCTGCGATGAACACACATTTCTCAGATGAATATTTACAAATGGCTAATACATGAAGAAATGTTCACCATCACTGGTCTTTCGAGAAATGCAAATTAAAACAGCACTGAGATTTCATTTCACTCTGGAAAGAATGGCTGCCATCAAGAAATCCACTGATAACAAATGTTGGTAAGGCTGTGAAGAAAAAGGAACACTTCTCCACTGTTGGTGGGAGTGTAAACTGGTGCAGCCACTGTGGAAATCAGTATGGAGATTCCTCAAAAAACTAGGATTAGAAATCCCATTCAATCCAGCTATTCCTCTTCTGGCTATTTTCCCAGAAAAGTTGAAAATGTCATGTCTCAGCGGTATACGTGCACCCAATGTTTATAGCAGCACAATTTGTAATAGCTAAATCTTGGAAACAATCCAAATGCTCATCAACTGCAGAATGGATGAAAAAGACATGCTATTTTTATATAATTGGAATATCACTCAGCTATAAAAAGGAGGATCTTGAGGCTTTTATAGGTATTTGGAGGCAACGTGAGACTCTCCTTATAAGTGAAATAAATCAGACTCACACTTGTAAATATTGTATTGTCTCTCTAGTATAACAAAAATAATAAAAAACCCGAAGAGTAATAAGATCCAAAATGTATAATAGATATTGTGATAATGAAATGGAAAGAAAGTGCTCTAAAGAATATAACTATGTATATCTAAGTGTGCAAGATAGATAAACATACTACTAAGGTTTTGTTAGTTCATCAAAAAATGGTTTGTACTGTCAATGTCTGATTGTCCACTTTTTATGCTTTCATTTTGTGACTTGAGCAACTCCTTCTAAGATAACAATAATTTATCAACTAGGGATTTCCTACTGTTTTTTTTTAATTCTGTATTACTTCTACCCTTTGTCTTTTCTTTATTTCTCTAAATAAAAAATTTTTTTAAAAATTGACTCACGTTGATAATAGATTACTATAGGTGACATTTCAACAGAATATTATTTTACAAGTCAGTTTGTAAGGTATTCATTTGAATTTCTAAATATTCTGTATGACTCCATAAACTTATATTCTTACCAATATTATGTTAAAGAAATTTAGATAATGTCAAAAAAAAGTGAGAAGGAATGCTATGCTTTTCAAGGTAGCTCAGTAACTAAGTGAAATAAAACTTTTTAAATAATGCTTGGTATAGAAATCTCTAATGTTATAGATCAGCCTGTTTTTCTAAGATCAAATATGAATCTGGAAGAGAGACATAAAATGTGAGAATATACTGATGTTTAAGGACACAAAGAAATCACTTTAGAAGTGTCATTTTTGTCCATTTGTAACTCTCTTCACTTCTAATTCACTGTCTAGGCAGACCACACAAACCCAGCCTACACTTGCTTCCACAAGACCTGTCTTTAGGCCTTAGTTTAGCTTTCTTCCTGTGAGTATAGTAAGCATCCAGGTTTTTAGAAGATTCAGCCAGGGGATTGCGGCTAACTCAGTGGTAGAACACTTACCTAGAATGGTTTCCTCACCAGCAATTACAAAGACAAAAATCCAGCTAACTCAGCAATTATATGCTACATAATATCTGCCCTGTTGTAGAAAATAGAGGTCCTAAAGTCAAATAATCTTATAAATTAACTAAAATTCATAATCTCAAAAAAATTTGTAAACTTACATATAGGCCTAACCCTTGGCCCCTCCCCACAATCAGCATGTGAGCAACTGAGAATTTAATCTCTTCCTATCATAATTACAATTCCTAATTCTCCCAGTCTTTGATTGTGGGTTTTAAAGGCTTCTCATATCCTCAGTAGCAAATACAGACATTGATTGTGTGAAAGAAGTTCTTAAGGGAATTAGTTTGAGCTTCAACCCCTTTTTTAGAGTTGAGAGAGCTGACTTATCATTGCAAACCATAAACATCTTTCCAGTCGATGGCAACAGAGTGTGTACTACATGCCTGATATCTTATTCAAATATAGGTGTTAAATAATTATTTATTGAGTGCACATATAAATGAATGAATGATGTTAGTTCAGAGACATGGGGAATTCAAATATGGCCAAAAGAATCAAAATGCTGCTCCAGTGACCCTGCTAGTCCAATCTTCCTGCCATGTTCAATGGGATCTCAAATTCCCAACTGTCCAAAGCCTTCCTTGAGTTGTAAGAGGAAAAACCACTGGCCTCTGCAGTGCAGAGCAGAACAGGAAACTGAAGAACAGGAAATCCGTGGATTCTACTGCTTGTGCTTTACCCAGTTATTAGCTCCAGTGTTCCCTCTCATTAAACAGGAGTAAAATAAATTGTTTATCATTTTTCAAAAGCACTGCATTTTTACTCATTCTTGCTTGCGTGCTTTAAAGGCAAAATCACAAGAGGGTATGGGGTAAACAAGGCCTACTTATAAAAGAGGTCACCTAAAAATTTAAAAGCACTCAAAACTTAATAGTTCATGCTATCAGGGGGATGAGCTATGCAAACCAAGTGAAAATTAAAACTAAACTGCATACATTAATCAGTAATGGGTAACACATCCCATTCATTTACATGCAATGCAATTATTCCAATAGGAATCCCAATAGCATCCAGCTGGGTTAGTGCATCTCCGGGGAACCAGGTGTTGGGCTTTCTCACTGTGTTTGGTTGTGTTCCTCTGGGTGGGGTCAGCAAATTAGCACTGCAGCACCCGTTCATTTTGAGCATTTCACAGAGAAACAATGCAGACCTGTGCATAACAGCATTCAGATCCCTCAGCCAGATAAGACACAGGATGCTTCTGGATGTGCCCTATTTCTAGAACATTCTATTTGATCTTGTGCTTTAGAAAAACACATTTGTTTTGTGCTATATAAAGAATTCTTCTTCTTCTTCTTTTACTTCACCTTGGACTGGCAGATGAAGGGGACATCTTGAGGTCACCTGTGCTGTACCAAGTTCCCTTTGGCCAGTGAGGGACCAAGGGTGAACTTGTTGCTTCAGGACTCTTTCGGTTTTCACGGCAGTCACTTCAAAGAAAGACCCTGATGAATTAGATGGGTCGTTGACCCACAAATTCTTTGGAGATCTGCTCCAAAAAGGAGGCCTGGGTTCTGCATTGATAACAGTGAACCCTGTGTCCACATTCATCTCAGCCTCAAGCCTCTGAAAGCTGTTTTCCCGCAGGATCTTCATTCCGGCCCCAAGTTCGAGGTGGGGACAAAGCAGACCCCACTGGGTGCCTGAGGCTGAGCTGCTGGCCTGGCTTGTGCAGCCAGAGCTTTTCCTCAGGGCCTCACTAGAGCTGGCCTCCAATGGCCCGCGAGGCTGAGGTAATTCCAGAGAGCGCACCTTAAACTTCCTGGCCCGGCTTCTTCGGCTTCTGGGCTCCAGGGTTCTCTGCTCAGAGACTGAGGTCAGCCTGGGGCCCACATAGGGTATGTCGGTCCCTGTGGTGCTGCTCGGAAGAGAGAGCTCGCTGGTCCTGAAGTCAAGGCTTGGATTAGGCTGGACCTGGAGGACAAGGAAGAGGACAAAGGAGATGGGTTCCACTAAGTGCCAAGAGCACCATGCCCTCCTCACCTCTGTTGTGCAACGCCCACAACAGACAGAGCAACACTGGCCAGACTGAGCCTCTCTGTCTGTCTCCCCTCGAGGCTAACTTTTCCTTTCCTTTCCATTTCTTTTTCCTTTTCTTAGTGGTACTGGGGATTAAACCAGTTCCCACTCCCCTCTCTTCATTTTCACACAGGATCTGGGTAAATTATTCAGTTGTTTATGCTGGGCTCAAACTTGCAATCCTCCTGCTTCAGCCTCCCAGAGTACTGGAATTGAAGGTATGCACCCAGCTGGCTCCCTAAATTAGCTTTTTTGACAAGGACAAGACGTTGAAGATAAATGGCCACTTTACAATACCATATTTCTGATAGATGAAATTGTTTAAACAGTGCAAGGACTTTCTTAACATGTCATTCAGTGACCTCAAGGGGTGCTATAAATAATGAGATGCCATCAACCATGCAGAAAGAAAAGAGCAACAAGGACATCAGTCTCAGTCAAGATAAGGACTGAAGTGGGAATCCAGTCTCTCAAGGTTGGTGGTCCTTTGTTTTGCTTATGCTAATAATGATCTGTCTTTAGGCTAGTCCAACACAATGTGAATAATTTTTTAAAACAAATGCTTATTTTCTTGGGGTACCACTTACATAAGGTGTGGGCTGGTACTGAATGGGGAACACAAGGGGGCTATGTGGAAGCTATGGTGTTTTAATCCCTGAAAATCCCACTCTGGTTCCATCTTACAGCCCCTGCTCAGCAGACCTCCCCTCCTGTGGGTATCTGCAGCTCTCCTCACAGTGCAGTTCATCTGGCTGCTGTCACCCTTGAACTCTGGGGCACCTCACGTACTATCCTGACCCCACACTCGCCCCAAGAGGATTTTAGAGAAGACAATTTCTCTGTCTTGCTAATAGCCCTTAGAAACTGGTATGCAGGATCCATCCCTGGCTTGCCCAGATCTCAGTCAGATCCCAAGAAGAATGGTATAGAAGAACCCTTAATGTTATTGCTAAGGATAGAAGCCAATCTGAAAAGGCTACATACTGTCTGCATCCAACTCGGTGGCATTCTGTAAAAGACAATTACAGAGACAGTCAAAATGTCAGTAATTGACAGGGTTGGTGGAGGGAGAGATGAGTTGGCAGAGCACAGAGGCCTATCAAGGCAATGAAAGAATTCTGTGTGATACAGTAATGGGACAGATGTCACCTCACATTTGTCAAACCAGCAGAACGTGCAAAACCAAGAGTGAACCCTAACGTAAACCATGGCTGTGGGTGATAATGACCTGTCATGTAGGCTCTTTTCTTGTAATGGATGAGCCACTCTGGGGAAGATGTTGATGGGGCTCGGAGGGGTTGGGGTGGACAGGAAGACAAGAGCTTTACTTTCTGCTTAATTTTACTGCAAACTAACATTGCTCCAAAAAGCATCTACTTAAGGGCAGAAACAAAGAATGCTACATATTTCTCTCAAGGCAAAAAATCAGAAATCACAACAGTCAGAAGGCAGGTCTATGTGGCAGTGGCTGTACACACACACACAGAGTATTTGCTTGTCTAGATGACACAGATGTATGTTTGCCTCTCAATTTTCTCTCTGATGGAAATGGAGATGTGGTGATTAGCAAACTGCAAAAACAAAAACAAAACCTGGAGACTTTCTTTGCTTCCTTTAAAAGTTAACAAATACTTTCTGTGAAGGGCCATGTAGTAAATAGCTGAGGATTTCTGGCCATGTGGACCATCTCCCAGACACTCGGCTCTGCCACAACGCAGCCAGAGGCAAGATATAAATAAATGGTGGGGCTGTGTTTCATTAAAACTTTATTTATGAATACTATAATTGGAATCTCATAATTTTCATGTGTCATAATTTTTTCCCAACTATTTAAAAATGGCAAGCTCTTTTTAGGTCCTGGACCATAATTGACCAGTTCTTACTCTCTTTCAATCAATGACTGCCACTTTCTTGCTCTCAAAAGTCTTTTTTCCCAAACAATGTCTTAGCTGATGCTTAAAATATGAAGTGGTTAAATTAAAGCTGGGGCTGCAGTTCTCCGTGCCAGTGAAGCGTGCCTAGTTCTCCCCGACCTTCTGGCATCTGAGGATGCCTGCTGCACCTCAAGATGTATCCATTGGCAAACCAACAGGAGAAATATGTGTCCGCAAAGTTTGGTGCACATTGGAATTAAGGGATTATTGGGATCATTAAACAGCAATGCCACCCAGGTCCTGCCATAGATGTTCTGCTTCCACCAGGCCAGGGTGAAATCGGGCATCAGAAAGTTTAACACCTCCCAAGGTGGTTCAAATGCATAGCAAAGGTTGGTATCCAACTGGTGTGGACCCAGAAATCTGTGACTCAGGGAGCTCACTCGTGGCCATGTGACTTTATTGCTCATCATGTGGTGCAGCCTCCTGCTCTCATTTCTGGAAATTCTTTTGCCTAACTTCATTTTGCACTCTCTCCCTACATTTTCCTCTGTTCTAGGTTTCTCTCTCCCCCCTTCTTTTGCTTCCTTCCCTTGTGCCTTCCATCTTCCTCCTTTCTTTTCCTGTCTTTCCTTTTCATGTGTTAGTTTTTAGCAAGGAATATTTTATTATATGTTGGTTGAGTATTCATTATCTAAAATGCTCAGGGCCAGAAGAGCTTCACATTTTTTAAAGTTTCAAAATATTTTCATATATATAATGAGCTATCTTGACTTAAAAACACAAAATTCATATGTTCCATTATATGTGTAGCCTAAAGGTAACCTTATACAATATTTTTAATGTATCTATATTTTAACTGTGACTATCACATGAGGTCAAGTGTGGAATTCCCATTTGTGGTGTGATGTGGCACCCAAAGGTTTCAAATTTAGGAGCATTTCAGAGTTTTAGATTACAGATGTTCATTACAGGCGAATGTTTAATCTTTTAAAAATGTGATACATTGAGAGGCATATTGCCATTAATCCTCAAAATATTTCCCTAGTTTGGAACACACTGATCTCATCATTCTGGCCAGTTTTTGAAGCAGTTCTGAAGCTCTGTTTTGTGTCTTTAGTTATACTGCCTCGGCTGCCTCAAGTCCTGAACTGACTCAAGATATTTGCTTTTCATTTCACTGTCACTTTCACTCTGGGGAAGAGCCAGAAGTCACAGGTGCCAGATCTGGTGAATAAGGTGGACAGGAACTCATAGTCATATATTTGTAAGCCTGCCTTTCTATTGCATGATGCTTGGCAGAAGTGTTCACCATAATTTTTTTAATCACACCTTGTTATGGTTTATACATCGTGTCAGTCTGAGAAGTCTAGGAGCTTAACTAAAGTGACTCACCAGCTGTACAACATGGGGTGTAGAGGGCCTATCCTTACCTCTCTAGGATATTGTTCATTGTGTCAATTTGAAAAGGTCAAAAATTTAACTAAGCGATTCAGCAGCGGACCAGGGTCCTTAGTCTGTAACATCTTCAGCCTGTACAAGAGGAGGGCACCCAGATGGTGTGGGTGCTACAGCCACCCCAGGGGAGTAGCCAGCATACAATAAAAGGAAAATGAGGGCGGGTTGATTGCTGGTTATTTGAAGGATCTCCAGTCTTTGCCTTCAGTTTGGACGAGTCTTATGGTTTCTGGCACAGACTGTTTGGCTTCCACTTGAGATTCCAGCCTTCATCCTAGACTCTTCAGTGTTCCATCACAGACCCATCAGCTTCCTGATACAGAATTGCACAGGACACTGCAGTAACCTCCAGCCTTTGGGCTGGACCCCTTAGCCTCTAGCTTCCAGATACCCTCTGCACACTTTCTCATCATAAGCCAATCTTGTAATTTCTTATACATTTGTACATCTTGTATTATATCTGTTTCTCTAGTAAACCCTGACTGACGCACATAATATAATGAAACTCATGAAAAAGGCTCCGACAACTGCTTCAGAGAGTGGAAAGAACAGAGAAAAAAGTGCATTCAGGGCTAGGGGAGTATTTTGAAAGGAATTAAAGGCAATATGTCTTTTACCAAAATATTTTTAATTTAAGCATTCACCATATAAATTGATCATACATTGTAAGTGATAATTGTTCACTGTAAAAATAATTTAATTGTCCAAATGCATAAAACAAAAAGCAAAGGTTCCCAATACACACACATCAACCTCATATCACTCCAAAATCTTATTCTTTAATGAGTATCTTATTTTTTCAAAGCTAGAGAAACAAAAATACTGACTACCATCTACAAACTAGGGTCACTCTTCAATTGGAGAACAAACTCCTTCAGTCCTGTACAGGGCTCTGTGGCCATCTCTTCCTTCTGGAGAGTCACCAGACACCTTTTTATTTCACCCAGTGAAGTCCTTTTCTTTTGGGTTAGGAAATGAGCACTATGCTTTTTTATATTTAGGGTTAATTCTAGGTTGATACGAGACCACCTAGTCTGGAGAAAGAAATCCTTCAGTTTATCTCTGCAGCTCCTATGTCATTTTCTGACAACTTCAAACAGAAAGGGAACACAAGCTCTTTCTGGCCACCTGAGTCAGCCTCAGCACTGACAGAAATTGATCTTGGAGCTGCACCTGTGCGGAGGAATCTCAGGGCAGCCACGAGGAGCCCCTCTGAGCCTCCGGGTCGGTGGGCCCCACTGAGTCAGCCCAGCGTATGCTTCACTCTACTGTGGTCCCTCATTCCCACCAGATCATGTCTCCCTTAAAATGTTCTGCTTCTGTCAAGCATGATGGTACACTCCTGTCATCCCAGCTAAGTGGGAGGCTGAGGCAGGAAGATCACGAGTGCAAAGTCAGCCTAGACAACATACTGAGCAGTCAGGCCACCAGCTCCTGGATTTAGTTTTCCCATCCCATCTGCTCTTCACCACTGACAGCTTCCCTACTTTCTTCCTCGTCCTCTCCATTTTTCCCTGCCTTAGATAGACATCGGAGTCCACAGATTCCAGCTTCAGCCATTTC